AAAAAAAAAAAAAAAAAAAAAAAAAAAAAAAAAAACCAAAAAAAAAGTAGTTGTAAATGAATTATTCAAAGTAGCTAGGAAAATTGTCTAAATAATTAATTCATTCAACAAGCACTGTTCTACCCTCATTAGCTGGCTGGATGGGGAAATACATATTTGCCAATCTCTCATCTTTATTCAGTTGCATGAATACATAATGAATATTATTTAGTGAACTCTGTAAAAGCAGAATGGGGCATTTGTAAAGCATAAGTGCTGGAGAAGGTATCCATTATCCCTTTCATTCCATTACCTGATCTTCTGGCTACTTGAAGAGCTGGTTTTACCTCTACCTGCTCCACTTAACTCTTTCTGCTCCCTTCAGCATCACATTTCAGCCTCATTTTTTGTGTGTATGTGACAGGGTCCTAAGCCCTTTGGAACTATGTCATTCTCCCCACGTCCTCTCACCTTCTCCATCAGCAGTTGCCTGCATTTCCCTGATGGTCCGGGTCAGGTGTGCTTCCTCCATGTGCAGCCCACTCCTTTGCCAAGCAGTGCTGTACCTGCACGTATCTCCTGGCAGGATTAGGCTGTACGGCGTGAAGACCTCAGCTCAGCTACGTGTCTAACCAGGCTCGTGAGATGCTCTGAAAATTCATGACAATGTGAATGATTTTTGGGTTTTTTAAATAATTAATCGCTGACATAGCGATAGCAGCGCTCCCCACTGCCTCCATGTCGCACAAGCTACGAATTACAAGCCAGGATGACAACTCATCTGCTGTCAGATGAGGTTGGGCCTTCCCAATTAGAGGTGCAGCCCCTCACGTGCCCTTGGGGCAGGAGCTGAGGCAGGTGGGAACCAACAGTGGGAGAGGAGCTGAGGCAGAGGATGGAGCCACATGAGCTGTCAGAGCAGAAAATCAGCTGGTTTTGAGGTTGTCAGGGAAAATCCACGTGGAAGAGAAAGATAGCAGTAGCAAGCACCACTAATGTCAGATACCTTTGTGATTTAAAACCAAACCAAAATATGCATGTACACGCACAAACAAAAACCTCGCTGTGCACAGAGTCTGCCAATAGCCAAGGCTGTATTTTAAGATGGAAGTTTGTTTGCTGAAAGAAGTAATGATTACAGAGATACAATGAAGTATCATTCTGTGTACCAAAGCTTTCAGAATGCAATTTGTTTGAAGTGCTGCTTCAGAGAGCAGCAAGAAGCACCGTGTTTCTTGTGACACTTCAAGTGTGTAAAGGCCATCCCTCCAACAGTCATTCAAATTTTTTTCAAATTGAGGTTTTTCATAGCAAAGAGAATTAAAAACAATCAGAAAATGTCATTCTCCTGTCATTGGCAGTGCTATTTATAGCCTGCCTACATGTGCACACCACCCTTTAATAAAGCACAATTCATACTCCTGCCTGGCTGCAAAAATTTGCTGGAACAGAGTGCTTATGCAAGCCAGCATAGTCATTCTGCTCGAGTGCTTTGTTTTAGTCTGGTTATTGTAAACAGTAATACCATGTCTGTGGATTTCTTGAGTTGCAGGCAGTCTAGTGACAGTCACTCAAGATGGGCTGAAGTATGAGGCATGTTGGGTTTCATGGAAGCATGAGCTGGTTGCGTTTTTTGTCTCACAGCAAATACAATATGAGGGGAGAAAATATTAATCACCCAGAATAAATACAAAACTAATTCCCACCCCAAAGCATCGTGTTTCAGAGTATTCACAGGAGACTGATCAGTTTGACATTTTTCTTCCAGTTTGAAATGTTTTCATTCTAGTGTAAGAATATTAATATCAAGTTATTTTATTGGTTTATTTATTGGTTTTACTGTCTTTGTTCATTCTCCTCACAGAACAGACAAATCTCTTGTACAAATCTGTGCAGCAAACAGAGCTAAATGTCACCAGTATGACATTGATTATTTTTTTTCTAATTTTAAAATATGCAGCTAAGGTAATCAATTTGTGCTGAGCTACAAATGCAGAAGCTGGAGTGTACATTCTCATTCCAAAGCTGGGTTAATATATACTAGTTTGATGTTTACAGTGTCTGTGTGCTTATCTGTTTTCCACCTCTGTCTGTGTAGACAGGTGTGTTTATACTCACACATGCTTTTAAACACTATATTTTTTCCTCCAGAAACAGAGTTACATTTAATTTGATTGGTTTTGTTTCCCATTTAGCTTAGCAAAATTGGAAGAAGAATTTGCAAAGAAATTCAACAGCCTCCCTCAATACAGTCCTATTACCTTTGACAGGAGAAACTCAGCTGTTCCGAGGAAAAAGCGAAAGGTTGGAAGCGGCTCATGTGAACTACCAAAATCCAACAAAGGTAAATTGCCATGTGCAGTACATTCTTAAGCAACAACAATGCTATGACAAGCTCAGGAATTTATGCATTCTTACTTCACTATTACATGTGAAAAGTGTGAAGTCAAAGAAAAAGTTTCTTAGCACTGAAGTTAGTTGATTCTCACCTGGGTTAGTTTTCAGACTGTACTGTTGACTCCTGATTTTCATGAAGAGTAGAGTTTGTACATGAAATGTATTCCTCACAGCAAGAAAGTTTATCAAAAACATGAATATTTGTGAGGTAAGTGAATTTGACAAGTTTTCCCAAGAGAAGATTGAGAAAAAAAGGGAGATGATCAAAGGTTATATTTTGACAGTTTTCAAAATGTAGTTTTATACCAGTTTGCATTTCACTGTAATTTTAGACTCTGTAAATTAAAACATAAGATACAAGAGATGTCTCAATGAAACATTTGGAATTTTTTTCTATTAATATTTTAACTCTGTCATAAGTTTGGAGCACAATGCCCTGACGTGATAAAAAAGGTTAGAGGACAGAAAAACCGATTCCATACCCAGCTCCACTTGAGGCTCCTCTGTATTGAGGCTCACGGAGGGAGAAACTCCTGACCCATTTGGTTGTTTCATATACAGACAACCTGTGGCAGAGAGATGGTAGAGAAGTGACAGTGTGGTAGAAAAAACTACTTTTAGACTGCATGAGCAATACTGGTGCACACATACAGCGTACAAACATCACAAAATGAAGGAATGGTGTACCAGTAATTCCACAAGACAAAGGGATGCTCAAAAGGATCCTCATTAGGCGCAGTTCACAATGTGATGCTTGTTTCCTTTTCAGCTACTATGGTAGTTCCACTGACTGACAGGTTTTCAGATCTAATACGGCTGCTTTAGACAGGTGACCCTGGATTAGATGGATGCCTTTTGAATGCTGCACAAATAATCACATTACAGTGTGCAGGATTGAGCAGCTGTTCTTCTCTAGTGCATGCCAGTTTTGGTATTGATTTTTGTATTTATGTAATTAGATGTGGAACGGCCACTTTGCAAAATTAGACTTGTGCTAATACCATTCTGACTTCAACTGCCTTTAATTCTCTGTTTATGGTGTGTGTTTGACAGAACTTTTTAAATGAGCATGAATGAATTGCTTTACACTATGATAACACACTGGTTAATTAAGCAACATCTGCTGGGAACAAGATCTCATGGAAGCATGATCTGGCAGTTGAAGTTGTAACAGCAGCTCATTGGATTTCTCACTGCAGTATTTACCTGTTCAGGTGTCTGTATGTTTAAAAACTCCGCAGGCACTGTGTTACTTGGAAATGGCAGCTGCCTCAAGTCAGGTAGCCCAAAACTGCATTCTGCTTTTGGTTGGGCTCAGGCATAAGAATTTAATTTTTATCTTTGTTAGCATCACTTAAAAAGCTTTGGAATATATACAGCCATGTCTCAAGGGAAGGTCAGAAACATAACTGCAGGCAGGTTGCAAGCCTGATATGAGTAGTTTTGGCACAGCCCTGCGGAGACGACCATGGAGCATTTGCCTCTGGCTGACAATAAGGGCTCTTTGAATTAAGCCAGCTGACTTTGCACTGAAGCAGATGGTAAACAGTCACATGAACTTTTCCACCAACTGAGCTGTGGGGTTGCAACAAGCAGCCCCAGGGCAGGAATATCTGATAGTGACACTGCTCTTTCTGTAGTGAACATCTAACTGCAGCCCTGAACTAAATCCGGAAGGGAGCTGGTGATATCTGCTCCTGATTTCAATGAGTGTTGAATTCACTCACATTAGCTGGGCAAGCTGACAGCTTGTGTCACTCATTCCAACTCCCTGGAGAGCAAAGTTCAGCTTTCAAGAGGTAGTTGAAAAACTTTCTAACAAACTGCTTTTATTTTGGAAAAGAAAGATTGATAAAAAGTAAATATTTCATGACAGTAGGTTGATTTAAATGTTTTTATTTTGTTAGGATGTGTAAAATTAGGATGCAGGTTGTGGATTTGAAATAACCTGGCCCATAGTGCATACAAGCAAGCTTACTAGCTTAGTAAGGAAACTGTTCCAGCTGAGCCAAACATTTATTAAGCTGAATCCTCAATTTAATTTGTGATGTACTGACAGGCTATTCAGCCTTGTTGTGCTGTTGGCTTGCCTGCAAAATGTGATGAGTCCAAAGACTTAGGGAATACTGACCTCCAAAAGTGTAGCACATAAAAGTCTGCATACCAAGCTCCTGCAGGTATTGCAGGAAATGAAACTGATAAATTGTGCAAAATAACAGAGCCTGGTTTGGAATGGTTCAGGGTTTTTTGAATTGTCTTGTTTTTTTACACCATTAGAATTAAGCAAAATTAACATCTAATTCTTGCAGTGTGATAAGCATGAACCATGAAGGGTCAATATAGTTTTATGGGTGTAGTGTGACTGTGTTGGGATGTGGGAGACCTTAACTTTGCTCTGCTGTGCTCTGCATTACTGTGTTATGTGGAGTTGTTTCTACTGCTCAGCTTTTCCTTGGATTTCTCTGTCTATAAGGTAATTGGAAGAGATGTCCAGCACAAATAGTGCCTACAAGTTGTTGAGGCCTCTGGATATTTCCAAACAACAGATAATAATCAGTAGGTGTTGGTTTAGTAAACACTCTTTGAAGTCATTCCCTGCTTTTTCTGAATGAGCATGTGCAAGATTATAAACTTCCCAAGCATTCTCACTCAGTTCACAGATAAGTACTTAAATTTTGCAGTTTAATTACAGATCAGTGTCTATCTACTAAATTTAAAATGTAGAAAATATGTTGAAGTGCTGCACACTAAACCTTCCCCAGAATGTTAGGTGAATAAAAACGGAGAAATGTTTTTTGTTTGTTGGGTTTGGGGTGTTTCCCAGCACCTCATCCCAACTGTAGCTGTATGCTTTAATAAGTTTTATTTTGGAGTAAAGGGTACTAGATTGATTTTCTGTCAAATGCCATTAACCTATACCTACAACAGGCCTGATCTGCTACCTGACAACACAGCCAGGATTATCAGGATGTTTTCCTGCTCCTGAGTGGAAAATCAGTGGGTCAGTGCCCGCCAACTACTTCTGCTGTGCTTGTCGTGTTCGGTCCTCACTTCAGCCAGTTCTTTAGTACAAAAACACCTGAAGAGCCCTGTAATGTGAAAGCTGTTTCAGATTCACAGTAATAAGGGAAAATTTGAGAAGCAATTTTTTCCCTAGAGCTTTCCAAATTGTCCAAATTCTGTTCCCACTGAAATCAGTGGGGGTCTTTCTTCAGTGGGAGCAGAACTGAACAAGCCAAAAGGTTTCGACAAAATCCACCTCAAGCATTTTGAACTGGGAATGTGCATATACAATAATAATGTCACCAAATGGCTCAGAAAGATTCAGCTATACTGAATGTGTGCAGATGGCCTGCTCCGACATTTGCTGGAGCTGTGACTGTTTTCTTTTTTTTTTCCTTCTTTCCAATGGCATATGTGCCAAAACATCCCACCACACAGAAGTCAGCTGTCTGCAGTGACTCACTAA